GGGAAGAGAAGAGAGGGAAGAGAGAAGAGAGAGGAGGAGAGAGAGAGAGAGGAAAAGAGAGAAGAGAGAAGAGAGAGAAAGGAAAGAGAGAGAGAGAGGAGAGAAAAGGAGAGGAGAAGAGGGAGAGAGGGAGAGAGGGAGAGAGGGAGAAAGAGGAGAGAGAGAGAGAGGAGAGAGGAGAGAGAGAGAGGAAGAGAGAGAGAGACAGAGAGAGAGAGAGAGAGAGAGAGAGAGAGAGAAGGGAGAGAGAGAGAGAGAGAGAGAGAGAGAGAGAAGGGAGAGAGAGAGGAGAAGAGAGAGGGAGAGAGAGGGAGAAAGAGAGAGGGAGAGAGAGAGGGAGGAGAGAGGGAGAGAGAGGGAGAGAGAGGGAGAGAAGAGAGAGAGGAAGAGGGAGAGAGAGGGGAGGAGGAGGGAGGGAGGGAGGGAGGGAGAGAGGGAGGGAGGGAGGGAGAAGAAGAGGAGAGAAGAGAGAGAGAGAGAGAGAGAGAGAGAGAGAGAGAGAGTAGAGAGAGAGAGAGAGAGAGAGGGAGAGAGAGAGAGAGAGAGAAGAGAGATGAAGAGAGAGAGAGAGAGAGAGAGAGAGAGAGGGAGAAGAGAAGGAGAGAGAGGGAGGGAGGGAGGGAGGGAGGAGGGAGGGAAGGGAGGGAGGAGGGAGAGGAGAGAGAGAGAGAGAGAGGAGAGAGAGGAGAGAGAGAGAGAGAGAGAGAGAGAGAGAGAGAAGAGAGAGAGAGAGAGAGAGAGAGAGAGAGAGAGAGAGAGAGAGAGAGGGAGAAGGGAGGAGAGAGAGGGAGGGAGAGGAGAGAGAGGGGAGAGAGAGGGAGAGAGAGAGGAGAGAGAGAGGGGAGAGAGAGAGGGAGAGAGAGGGAGGAGAGGGAGAGAGGGAGGGAGGAGAGAGAGAGAGGGAGGAGAGAGAGAGAGGGAGAGAGAGAGAAGAGAGAGAAGAGAGAGAGAGAGAGAGAGGAGAGAGGAGAGAGAGAGAGAGAGAGAGAGAGAGAAGAGAGAGAGAGAGGAGAGAGAGAGAGGAGAGAGGAGAGGGAGGAGAGGAGAGAGAGAGCGAGAGAGAGAGAGAGAGAGAGAGAGAGAGAGAGAGAGAGAGAGAGAGAGAGAGAGAGGGAGAGAGAGAGAGAGAGAGAGAGAGGAGAGAGAGAGAGAGAGAGAGAGAGACTTTTTACATATGCAATTGGCATTCGTATCTGTGTGATAGATTGTGAACATATATGCATGGGTGCTAATGTGTGCACACAAATTTGTAACGATGTGCAAGTACTTATACTAGTGTCATAAAGTAGAAGGATATGAGACTCTGTCAGTGACACAAATATTTTGAAACTTGTTCATACAGCTCGAGATGAAGTGGAATTCCGACACCCAGCCTCCCTATTCTAAATCAGTGCATTGAGTCTAAGAAGTTTACCAGACTGCCAAATAAAAGAGAAAAAATGTAGCCTGGCAGTGAATGTATCCGATTTTAACCTTGGTCCGTTCCCATCCAATTCGTTATGTTGTGACGTAAAGTGCTGTCGAGTTTTATGGACTCGAGAGTTGAAAGTGAGTGCATTTAAGAACCGAAATGTGCTCCTCCCTTACCATGCCTCACCAAGACAATCTATACCATTGGCTATTCTCATAGATGAGTAAACTTTGGAAGAAAAGGCTTCGCTATAGTATTCTGAATATCTGTGTAAAACATCTGTGAAACTAACTGTACATCAATGAAATATCTCAAAATGTTCACTTATATCCAAGCAAACAATGAGCGAAAACGAAGACATGAAGCCAAGGGACGTAAATCAATATTAGGACCAACATGTGATGATTTCCAGTCAGCGGTGTTAATTGCCGCTTTTTCCTCGCTCATTAATGCAACGTAATCTCGTCTAAGTTCCAAAACAATAGCTCAAATGGCTGGCAGGATATCACATGTCAGAACCTTTATATCTCGTAACCAGTCGCTAGTCACATAACACCTTATTGTTTCAACAGTACAATATGTCATTCTGATCTTCTGATATAGCCATCCTACTTTTATACAGACTTAACCTACATACTGATTAGGAAGTGAACCATGGAGTGATAGTACAACTGGCACTACGTGGTTACTGCGAAGCACTTGACGTCTGCCCTTTTAAGTCAGTTTCTCATTTCAACAATGTCATTTCGTGGGGAGTGTGGATGGGGTGACGTGGAAGCTTTAATAAGACACCTGGGGGCAGGGGGATATGATAACTGTATCAAATCGCATAAAACATGAAGTACGGCAACTGTATGGGCTAAGGCGAGCTGCCCCTTAAGCGACGACCCAACAACTGTTACGTTACATGATAGCCTCGCATACGGGGAGGGGCAGCTGTTGAGGGGCGCAAAATACTGACAGTTGAAGACAGAACAGCTTCGCGAGTCATGACGTGATAGGTTTGGGGATGTGACAGATGAGCGAAAGGGAACGTAACACCGGGCAGGGGGGTCCTTACCTGCTGCAGCTGCGAATCCTGCTGTGTCT